GTGAACCCCTGTCAGTCTTCGCGCTTAGTCATCGTAGCTACCCCAGCTCTGCAGGTTAGGTAGGTAGGTAGGTACCTTAGGTGGGCAAGGCTGCAGGCTTGACGCGTGCGTCTGAACCTCAGCTCCATCGTCAGTGACAACTTAGGCAACGCCAGATCAACATCATCAATCACCAACTCCGAATTCCATCATCTCTGCGCATCGAGAAAGATCACCCAGCTCTTGCTTAGACCTCCGTCACATAGACCGTAATCATGGCTGCCATGTTCAGCCAGAACCCTTTGATGAATGGGCCCAACTATTCATTCTCCGATGCCCCCAAGACCAACAGCGGCGAGTTTCGAGAACATCGATTTAACCCGTGAGACACCTCAACTATGCATCTCCAGGGCTTACAGCTAACTGATACAAGCTACACCGATAATGGTGGCTCGACTCTTGCCATTGCTGGCGCAGACTTTACCATCATGGCTGGTGACACCCGCCACACTAGCGGTTATAGCATCAACTCTCGCATGTCCCCCAAGGTCTTCCGAATCGGCGGCACCACTGCCTCCCAGGAGGATGCTACACTAGTCCTATCTGTCGTCGGCTTCGCTGCTGATGGTGAGGCCCTCCGTGACCACCTCGACACCATCTGCAAGATCTACCGTTACCGCCACGGCAAGCCTATGACTGTCAATGCTTGTGCCAAACGCCTCTCTACCGTTCTCTACTCGAAGCGATTCTTCCCCTACTACTCGCATGCGATGCTCGGCGGTCTGGATGAGGAGGGCAGAGGCGCTGTGTACTCATACGATCCCGTGGGGAGCTATGAGCGAGAGCAGTGCCGAGCAGGCGGTGCTGCGGGCAGTCTGATCATGCCTTTCCTGGACAACCAGGTCAACTTCAAGAACCAGTATATTCCCGGAAGCGGAGAAGGCCATGAGCTGAAGGAGCGGGAGCGACGTCCTCTTACGCGAACAGAGGTCGAGACTGTTGTCAAGGATGCATTCGATGGTGCGGTGGAGCGTCACATTGAGGTTGGTGATAACCTTCAAATGCTCATCATCACAGCAGACGGTATTGAGGAGACCTTTTTGCCCTTGAAGAAGGATTAGGTGGGAGGAAAGGCGAAAGAGGAATGTATAACAGGGGATTACTTAGACGCCACGAAATCAATGAGCCTTCTTTACGGTCAACTGCGGGGCATAATTGTGGTGTGATGAATATGAATATGATACCGAGTCGCTTCAACGACAAAAGAGAATGTCACGATCCGCGAATTGCAAACTAACAGATCGCCTGTGGGGCTCCAGGATGCAAAGGTCTTACTTATCTTGGGATTAGGTTTTATAAATTACTGTCGGCGGCACTGAGCTCTGCAGACCGCACATACCTGCTATGCACGGGGAATGAGGAAGATTTTCCAACACCACTGAAGCCATCGTGTTCGGTCAAATATTCACAGAGATCACGGGCACCTAGATCATGTACTGGCACTATGCGACTGCAGTTCAATTACCTGACTTGGGGTGTTAGCTAAAGGTATGTGAGTTCAGTTTACCTTAGATTTGTTCCAATTGGCCTTTGACTCCAACTGCCCGACATCTAACTTGCTGCGTGGTGGCATGGACAACGAGTTATGGTATGACGGCGATTTGACCTTATAATCAATGTGCGAAGCACTTGTAACGGCATACTCAAATTACACTTTGATCATTGAAAGGTTCAATGGACATACCAATACTCGAGCGTCCTATCAGCATACTTAACCACTGGTTGAGACCGTCCTGAAAGAGATGAACTATTCTCTTCACCGGGCAACGGTGCTTATTTGTGAATGAGTTATCAGCTGTAACACAGCTATTCACCCTCACAACTCTTGGGTGGCATTTTCGTAAGTCTGACATGGCCATGTACTACTTTTCTGCCTTTTGGTTGTACTTTGAGTGTGGACAAGTAACGTTGCTAATCAGTCTAATTAGAGATAGAATGGCATCGGCACACGGCATTCGAGAGACCCATGTCGAGCTGAGCTCTAGTCACTCAACATTGATCATCTCAAGAGACACCTAACATTAGTCCGCGGATAGAATTACATCCGGGAGAGTGCAACACCACTTTCACTTCTAAGAGCGCGTCTAGACTCTTCTGGAGCGCCTCTATCGCACCACAAGCGCGGCAAATGGCAACACCACGTTGGTTCATTAGACTCAAGCGCTTGTTACTTTTCCTGCGCCCGATAGTCATCAAAGCACGGTCCGGTTATTTGCTAGCAAAGATTTCTTTCTGATGATGATCAGAGTCAGATGCTAAATATCGAGCCAATACCGTGGCAGTCTAACACCACCATGCTATTTCTCTAGCCACCGGTGTAGGTATCAGATCACAAGAGAGAACTTATCATTGTTAGCTCATCCAAGTACTCGTCTACTCAGTCTCTATCCCGAAGACGCTTGCAGCCCTGCCCTACCCTGCCCTGCCCACACCGGCCGGTCAGGTCTAATGGCTCTTTCTTAGCCTATCAAGTCCACTACACACTTAAAAGCTCTGATAGGTGAGGCAAAACCTGGTTGCAGTAGTACAGGGTTATTCAAGGCATAGTGACTGGTTGAACGTCGTTGCGGTGATCCGCCCTTTGCCTCAATGGCTATGTGTACAGAGATCCATCAAGATATGCCAGCTAAGCAATGCCCCGATGCAGGGAGGGTGTGGACAGGGTCTATTTTTCCCGTGCTATGCAAGATACTGTATCTCAATATCGTTTGGAGGCGTCAGTGTCTCGCTAACACAACCGATGTAGTGGCGTCTGCTCCATCGCACAATCTGCATGACCCTAAATAAAGGTTGAAGACATGATACACTGCCATTACAGCAGCCGGACACCACACCTCGTTCACACGCCAGGAATATCAAGCCTTGGAGCTTGAGCATCTCTCGAGGTGCTGTACCTATTCTGACAAGTCGCCTTTTCAGCTGGCCAGGGGCTAGCTATCCTTGCTTTGGACTGATATTGGTGCAGCCGGGGAAAAAATGAAATTAAGACATGATAACCCATGTACTAAGAGTATCATGCAGTAGTGATCACACTTCTGTTGGGTGGTGAGCAGGCAAGCAGTTCACCTGGTGTGTGTGTTCAGTGAATTATCCTTTCGAGCCTTTCAATATGCATTGTAGATATCCCGTACAAGCCAATTTCGATTGCCCCTCTTCAATAGAATGAGATTTCTGCATCCGGACCTGTTCAGGCTACTGGGGTCTCTGATGCTATCTTCGAGGTACAGATATTGAAAGGCATGTTTGTTGTGCAAAGCCGGACCAGGTACCCAACGAATTCGAGTTAATAAACAGCTTCTACTCAAAGAATTCTTCCAAGGCTGTCGATATGCACAACTGCTGCCCTAAGTTGGTGGCAAGCTTTTGATTACATCGGAGGAATGACTATCCTTAGACAGGACTTCTAGCAACATCTGTTCCTCGCAAGATGATGGATGCGCGTACTCGTCTGAAGAAACGTCCTGGTCTATTCGCCACCTAAGCATACGTAGCTTCCAATAATCAAGTGTTGTCCTCCATGTCTCATAAGGCCTAGGAATTGTGTTTAGCCATGCATGTCGTTGAATCGAGGCTGGCGGCTGGCGGCTAGCTAACATGAGCGAATGTTGTGTGGCTGACAGCAACTCGCTGCTGAAAGTCTACCAGGACTTGGAACGCAATTCAATCATGGTCTTATTTCCGCACTTGGGCCGGGACTGCTTAGGTTTCTTGGTTCAGTTATGGTCTAGCTTTTCTTCCAAGTTTTGTCAAACTCTTCCATCCTTGGACATGGAACTTGCCGTCATCGGAGAAATCAGAAAGGCGTCTTGTCGATCAGCGAGCAGACATTCCTACATACAATGATGCCCACTGCCCAAGTGTTGAGGAATGATTAGTTGCTATTATTGCAGGGATTTTCCGGCATTTGATGGTCCAGTTGGTGTCGGCAGATGACAATTGTAGCGGTTCGAAAGCGCTACAACAATTGGATCTAATCAAAACGGCACCGAACTCAAATGCTGACGACTTACTCCGTACATCCATACATGCACAACCGTTACCAGTCGGTTGACATTTGCCACCTCTAATCGTCAAAACTGAGGCATGTGATAGGGAGTGGAAGCGCAATACACTCAATTTTCCTCAAGTGTCCATAGGTACTAAGACAGAACTGAAAACGGTGGGAGTTACATAAGGTAGCGGTCCGTTCTCAAGACACTATCTACCTAAGTATCTACCCATGCAGGGTGCAACACATTTGCCACATTGGAGGGAGCTGTCATAGCTTTCTTTCTTCATCAACAGCCTTACACAAGTCTCTTGATAGCCCACGTTCAGTGAAATTGGCGTCGGGGTCCTCGGCTCCTCGAGCCCTCAAATCAAGAGAGGTTCACAGCGGGTTACGCATCGGCACAGAGCTTCAAGAAGGATGATCAATGCTGATAATCGTTTCACAAGCCACAATGGACCCTTGCTGCGGACCTCCCGACACCAGCGAAGACGGCCAATTGCTGTTTTGGTCGCGCCATCGGCGAATACTACCTATAACTGTAAGGCATGTAAACGGAGCACCGTCGTCATGGCGTCACTGACTATTGTGCAACAAGAGGTAAGATAGGCATTGGATGCACCTAAAGCAGTCAAGATCAACGATAAAGGTTCTGGACCCTGGTTGACAGGCGGGTGGCGAATGCGTCAGGCAAGCAGGCAACAGTCGTCGACAGGCGCCGCTCTATCTGGGGGCCCAATAACCTTGATTGCGGGTCATAATTGTACCACAAGTTGGAGGCTTTCCACATTTATTTTTGGTGCAGATTTCTGACACACAATTGCCGTACATCCCTGACCCTTTGTTTAGCTGATCATACACGACATCTCCGCCTTGAGACGAACACGCAAATTCAGTATCAAGTATTCTTGTTAAGAACCAACGGAGCATTTCATCCGCCTACCTTAACTAGGTCCGGGTTTTAATTCGCTACCTAGGTGGCGGCGTCCCAGGAACCCCCATCAAGGGTCCAGCTAGACACACAGCGGTGGTAGGGCGCGCACATGTCGTTAGTCCAAAAAGCCGTCGTACGACCGGCAGCTCGGATCACTGGCCGAAGAGCAATGACCGGCTTCTGGTAGCTGATGGAGTCAGTGTTGATGTTGAACAGTTTACTAGCCTTTTTGGCTTCCATAGTATTGAGGATGTGAGGCGCTCAATGTCGAACTCTGGAATTGACCACGAAGGTTTCTAGCAGGAGAAGTTTACCTATCTACCTATGACTTGTGTTTGATCCAGGATCGTGAAGTGGGATGGTCGATCATTCACTTACGGCTGTCCTGGGGTCCCTAGGCAGGCCCAAGAACAGCCATGAGATTACCCAAGTTGTCAGGACCATGCGAATGTCTCCAATAAGACGCTAGTGTCACGGGAGGCTGGTCGCCCCGGCGCACTAGTTGAGAAAAGTTGGTGGGTGATGGAGAATTAAGAAAACGGGATAGATCGACATCTACGAAAAGGACTGTTGGAACATGACATTTGTTGTTACTTACGCAACTGATTGAAAGCTCAGAAGCGACAAGGATTTCGCCGAGGAACGTCACTTCACTACATACTATATCCACTACCTCCATATTGCTGTCGGGCTGTGACGTCGCGATTTTCAGGTACTGTCTGTTGGTCTTACGAATAGCAAGGGAATCGGTATTTACATATAGCAAAGCTAAGCTATCCGTGTCAGCTATTGATCAAGAGCTACCTGGGGCCCCAAGCAAAGAGTTGTCAGCCGGACGCTCGGATCTGAGGGGAAACCGTGGTTATGGCAAGATATCTACTAAGTCGGCAGAAATCCAAACTCAGACTGGAGTGCAAATTGTAACCTGCTCAGTCATCAAGATCAGCGAATCATTCATTATACAGCATGCGTAAGACTCTGCCATGAAAAGTGCCCACGGCTAGTGGGTTCGTGTCCTCTCTCGTGCAAGCAGAAGCGCATGCCGGCGTGGAGCTTTTTAGGTCCAAGACAGTAGACCGGGCTAGGCCCTTCGGCCCTCAGGAGTGGTTCGAAGCCCCGTCGAGGATGGCCTAACTTCAGTGTTGTGAGATTCGAGGAAAACCAGTCAAAGAGCGCCGGAGCTCGCCCGGATAGAACGCCACATGGAAAGGCAGACTGTTGAGCATCCGCTGGGTTGCATAGTGGGGGAAGCAATGGCTCGTGAAATTCAAAATGCCCCATCCTTAGTGCCCGTTTCCTCACAATCACGTCAAACTTGACAGCCAAGTGAAGCGAATTGAGTTTAGAAAGGATACGTACATGCTGGCAAGGCGACTCGGCGGGTCTGTCGCGCGTGTCGATCAGATCTCAGGGACCTCCACCCTGCCGCCTCGGCTATTCCCTGTATGCAGATCCCTACTCTGTAAGTTCATGAACAGCTGTCTGAGGGAGTGAGTGGCGATAGCTTCGTACGCGTCCCTGAGTCGCTGAGTCGCGAGCGGCTGTTGCTTCTCTTTACGGGGTCCACTGGCGCAGTTGGCTGGCTGTAGAGCTAGAGGCCACTTAGCATTTGATGTTGGGCATGTTTGCAGATATGGTTCGAATGATTTCTGATATCGCGAGACTCTTTGATACATCATGTATATCAGAACTTAACTTTGCAGGGTGAGGTAGATTAGTACTTTAGTGAGATGGAAAAATCGATGTGTTGAACAAAGTTGGCGTGTGCCATTCCCTAACGATTCCCATGGCAGCAGTGACTTGGTAAGCGCCAAAATGCCCTGTAGTCTTAAGCTGCTACGTAGAGTTAAAAATCTGGGGCAGGAACAGGGCAACCTTCAGTGGCGAAACGGTCTCTTCCTATAGCGGGACGGGGAGTTTTACGTTCCCATTCCATCTTGTACGGTTCCTTCAGCGCAAAACTCTGCTTTGCTTACCCAAGCCAACGTACAGTACCTTGCCTACCGCCGACCTAAGGTTACCTACCTATGTCAGAAGTCATCAGGCCCGTTTTATGTTTCATGACGTTTCAAGCCACCAGCATCATTGATAACCTACCCTCCATGCACCAACCATATCCTAGCCCTGTCCGACTTTGGAACGCAATTGTACATCATTCTAATTACGGAATCCAAGTCATTCTGATGACGGTTGGGAACAAGGAGACATCAGACGACATGCAATGCAGCTGGCTACAGACACATGCTTGGGTGCATATACATAAGTTAGTAGGTGCGGTAAGCAAAACCACTATTATCCACGAGACCCTCTAAAAGCATCAAAGACCTTCTGATTTCGGAGATTGTGCTTTCTGGTGGACCCCGCTATCGTCCGTTTTCAGGGACCGTTGCCTCAAGACGCTGGGTTCGCTCGCAGAGCTCGACGTCGAAGAAACCATTCCCCACTGGAACAACAAATTTAGAAGTCCAATGCGAAGTACCGCATATCATATCACGGTTAGGGCATTTCTTGGCGTCGAAATGGTCTTGTCTCCTCTGCCATCGCTTCACCACTACATACGTACTATAACAAGGTTTTCTCTCCACCCTTTACTATTCAAACCCCCCCATCCCTGTCATCCGTGTTGGGTCCTGCTGTGGCTGTTCTTCTTGCACCTTGTTTCCCTGCTGCCGGCGCCGTTGCTCGGCTCGAGCTTCACTCTCCAATCACATTTCTCCGTGAACTCTTGACTTCATTGTCGTTGCGAATCTGTGGCACTCGGTACCTGAATGTTCACCAAGATGGTGGGCGCATGGTCGGTGGCGGTAATGGGTAGCTCAATGTCGCGACCTCAGCCACCACCGTCTCACCGGATGGTTGTCTTCCTGAACATAGGTAGGTAGACGTAGACGTAGACTATACGTGCGACTTTGTTGGAACTCCCCAGACGAACAGGGGGAGCTGCCAATCTGTTCCAAGGTCGTGCTGTGAATAATCTATACCTGTGCCGTTGCCAACATGGGCCTCGCTTAAGTTCAAGTTCAAGTATCACCGATGGATTGCGGCCTTAGTGACTTGAGCATCGTGTGGCTTGACGGCTTGTTGTTGCCGTTGAACTATCGCTCTCTTTTACCTCTTCTTGTCCAAGCTCTCCTCTCCACCACTTCCCTCCACTCACTCCTCCACCTATACGGCCCTAACAAAATCCCATCTAAGAGCTCGACCAACTTGGGATCGCCCATCGTATTTCCCATCTATCTTGCCCATCTGTAGCCCACACCCCCCATGAATCTATCACACTAGCATCCCTTCAACTGGTCTCTTTTTGGCCCTCTGTCCCTCTTAACCCTGCATTTCCTTACACTTCCTTACCTTCCAAGCCTTCCTTGAGCCCTGGCTTCGGAAGCTTGGACTATTAGCCACTCGCTATCTCCGTTGTTAAAGCCTCTTCTGTTTAATCGTTGGCTAAGGTTTCGCCCCTTGCCCCCCAAAGCTTCTCAAGCCTCGAAAGTCTTTAGGAACCGTTTCTCTCCTGAAAGCTCACAGGTTCAGGGGAGCTAACTTTGTCAGTTTGCATTTCTGGTAACCTTGGTTTGTTGCTGAAACTGGCATTGCTTATTGCCAGCTCGCAAAGGACGACCTAGTGCTCCTTCAACGTATGAGCAAATGTTTTCTCGACTCTTCTTGAGTCCCAATATCTTCTTTACCGCTATACTTACTCATCACAGCTGATTCTTAGTTTCGCTGGTCAAGTCCAACTTTGTGGCTGATCGCCGACTTCGAATAGTTGTCACTGCACCTCAACACTACAACACTCTCCCAGTGGTTCCTGGGCTAACCTCATATCCCTGTTACGCCATAAGGAAACACAGCCAAGCCCCATTTTCGATCTCGTTTTATCATCCAGCTCCTTTCCCTTCCGAACTTGGCATTGGGTTAACGGGTGTTCAACGACTTCGCTAGTTTCCCCGTGGGGGCAATAACACGCCTTTCTGAACAATTTCTTATAGGAACTGTATTTACTTCCGCTACCACCTTGTCTCTTGATCTGCAAGCAGATTCCATTCTATACAAAACGACAAATTTGTGTCTCCTTTCATTCTTTTGTTGGTACGAGCTGGGGTCTTCATATATTTCCCCCGCCCACTGAGCGCTATCGTCGGCTCTGACACACAATCGGCCACAAAATTGCTCGATAATTTCCCCTCTCTACCCTTTCTTTAACAGCAGCCAGTCAAATCCACCCGAGAAGCTCTAAGCCGCTGCTTTGCTGCAGGAAAAAAGCCCTGTTGACTTGTGACTTCGGCACGATTAGCAGGCCTCCTCGTGTTCATCTGAACAAACACAGCTGCCAGGCATCAGATTGTTGCTGTCCTTTCCTCACTACAATAGAGAACATATCCAAGGTATTATACTACCCTTCAACAAACTTGTTGCTATAAACTTGCATCTGAGTTGGAGGAGTTGCTAATCTGATCTGAATCAGCACCAGGTTATCTCCCAACTTCTATCAGAGTACCACCAACAGATACATCAAATGGGAGATATAGCTAGCGCCCAAGTCCCTGATGTGGGAGCACTCGACCAAGATACTGCAAAGACTGTCAACATCACCACATCTGGCGATCCTATGCCACGTCAAGACGAGCCTCGAACTACTCAGGGCCATGAGTTCTCTTCTCAAACTCAAGAGCATCCCACCGTTTCTCAGCACGCATTCTCAACACAGTTCGATATGTCTCAACCCTCTTCGGGTCCCCGCCCTGGGCCATATAACATGGCCCCTATGACCAACGCGCTCCCTACGATGAGTTTTCGCCCTGGACAGTATCCTCAAAACGCTCACCAACGCATGAATCCCACGGGGTCTCCACCTATGATGCAGCACATGTCCCAGTTTCCTGGTCATCCACCACTCCCAGTCCCCGGCCAAGGTTACTACTTACAGCCACAGGTCGCACCGTACTATGGAAATCAGATGCAGCACGCACAGGCAGCGAACATGATGTCTCAGAGGCACAACATGGCATACTATCCCAACCAGATGATGATGAGCTCTCAGCAATCTCCCTATTACTACCCTCCTGGGCCCCAGTATCAACCTGCCGCGCATCCAGTCCCGAATGGGGTGTTATCTGGCTACCATGCCGCTGGCGGACGAACAACCAGCGACCCAAGGGCGATGGCACAGACTGCAGGCTCGAGTGGAATACATCCACAGGGGATCAAGCAGGGGCAAGGTAGGACTGGGAAGCAATCTCCCAACAAAACTGAGCTAAAGCACACCTCAGATGGGACAGAGAGGCGAAAGAGTGCTGTCCGGGGCCCTCCCAGAAAGCCGCGACAGAGTGGTAAGCTAATTACCTCGATGACCGTCAGTGTCGGCTAAACTCTTGAATCAGGACACGCAATCTGGATCGGCAACCTTCCTCCGCAAACCGACCTCATGAGCCTCGTTCATCATGTATGCAAAGAAGCTGTAGGATTAGAATCACTGTTTCTCATCTCCAAGAGCAACTGTGCATTTGCCAATTTTAAGGATGGGGAAACCTGTACTGCAGCTCAGCAGAAGCTACACGATTCGAAATTTCAGTCGGTTCGCCTCGTCAGCCGGCTCCGCAAGAGCACAGTGGAGGGTGCAGCCGGTGTAACAGCTCCGACTGGTCCTTCGGTGGCTATAACAGAAGTCAAGACGGAACA